TGAAAGTTGTTTTCTGACTTCCACATGTACACCATGGCATGCATACACCCACAGGTACATAACACATTAAATAAATGTAAAAAAGAAAATAAGAATAAACAAAGAATAAAAATAATCTTTGCGTGACCAGGGAGATGGCTCAGCTGGTTAAAGCACTTGCTGTGTAAGCCTGATGATTGAAGTTCAAGGCCCAGAACCCATGTAAAAAAGTGGTATGTGGAGGTACGTCTGTAATCCCAGCACTTCTACAATGAGATGGGAAGCAGAGACAGGAGATTTGCCTGGAAGCTTGGGAGCCAGACAGCCTGAAACATGCAGCACGACAGAGGCAGAAGCAGAGACCCTCAAACAAGTTGGAAGGAGAGAACGGACTTTCAGAAAGTTATCTCCGACCTCCACATGTATACCTGGCACATGTGTGCCCCCCATACATTTTTTTAAAGACCGTCTGTGAGGGCTGGGAGAATAGCTCAGTGGTGTAGCACATGGTTAGTACACAAGTCCCTGGGTTTGATCCTCAGGATTGGAACTTCAGGATTGGGGAGAAAAAAACACACACACACACACACACACACACACACACACACACACACACAAACACACTGCCCTCATGGAGTTAATGCTCCATTGGTGGAAACTATTAAAAGCCATTCTGCTGGACAAACAGGAGGAAGAGGATTGATAAGACTTTGGAAAATCCTTTCAAAGAACCAGCTCCTCCCTTCCATTGAAAATGGTTTCCAGAAGCTCAATTTATAAATACCTTTTCCTTAGAGACAATTAGTACATTGAGTGTGGCCAGCAGGCAAATGTTCCACTGGATGGCTGGTGACCTTTGCAGGCATCAGCATCGTCATTGGTAAGTGGGGATGATGAAGACTCAAGGGGTGAGATTCAGAGATCTTGTATCAGCAATGCATTATCCATTCACTTATGTTCTGTTTGCTATTCTACCCTTCTTTCCTGCTTAGAGCAGACACAGGTGGGGTGGGAGGCCTTCAAACCAGGTTCTCTCATCTACCTTCTGGGCCCCTGATGGCTGTGGCAGACATGGGAAGGAGGCAGGTCTGGGTCTCAAGGGTAATGACCATAGAGAGGCTGGGACCCTGCTCTGTGCCTCTCCCTCCAGCCAGTTCGGCAGAGCCTTCGGAAGAGGTAGCCACCCAACTGGAGGCAGGATCCTCTCTCTTCATTGGACATTAGGTGTTGCTGGAGAAGTCTGCCCTGGATCTATTCTTGGCAGCAGTCTCTTGCATGTGCCCTGAGCAGGCCTTGGGGAGTCCCTTCTCAGCCCTGATAGCCACAACATGCCTGTAGGGGTGAGCCCCCAGAGCCCGGGGATGGATACCACTTACTGGATTTCCATTTTGCCCAACAATGCTGCAAAGAAGGGCAGTCAACACCCTCCAAGTACAGTTGAGGAAACTGAGGTTAAGAATTGACCCAAATCACTCTCCCAATAAGGGATACAATAAGCATTTGAATTTAGCAGTCCTGCCCCCCCCAGTGGCAAGGGCTTACACTGAACTGGACACCCTTTTCTTATTTTTGTTTTATGTGTATGAGTGTATTGCTTGCATGTAGGTAAGTGCACCCATGTCATGCAATGCCTGTGGAGGACAGAAGAGTTGTTAGCTGCCATGTGGGTTCTGGGATTCGAACCCGGGTCTTCGGCAAGAACAGTGTTCTTAACAACTGAGCCATCTCTCCAGCCCCTGGACACCCTTTTAACCCCTCTGTGTCTAGTCCTCAGTCCCCACCTCGTATGTACAGGGGTAGAGAGTTCTGGGGCCTCTGTGAAAGCCAGGGCAGGTGACATTTGCCTAGCTCATTGAAGTACTGGCTTTGGCAGCTTTAGAAGAGAGGTGAATTGTGTCTGAGAGAAATGCCAAATGGCAGAAGATGCCCAAGGAACTAGAACTTGGAAATGGCTCTGCAGGTGGGACATGGGAGCCCATCTCACCATATCCCTCCTTTTACCCAGGAGAAAGGCTCACGTTGGAAGTGAGGTTTCTGCACAGAGAGTCCTGCACTGGTACCCAGGTGCTGGCATGTGCCAGCCTCCTGTAGGCTGAGTGCCCGTAGCTGCCAGTGGGATGATGATCTAAACTCAGCCCAGGGTGTAGGAACTCTTCAGAGTACATATAGAGGGCTGACGCAGTGGTAGCCCTCAACAACCTGTGGCCATAAGATTATTCTTAGTGTTTTCAGAGTTCAGTGATTGTTAGGAATCAGCAAGTCTCTGAGGGGTGGCTTTAATTCTGTGCTTCTGCTGGGGTCTACTCCTAGCACCAGCAAGGAGTTACTGAACTCTATCTCAGGGAGGCCTGGGTGCAGTGGGCATTCAGGATTTGAACCTGAGAGGAAGACAAGGAGCTGTATCTGAGGTGGCAGCTCCTAGTCCCCTGCCCTGCGAGAATGCCTGTGGCTTGAGGGGACATTAGTCAACCTCTATGTCAAGTTTCTGTCAAATGAGATCCTTACTTCCACACCCAGGGAGGTGCCCATTTGAGGGAGGACTGGTTGCATTAGAGAGGCTAGGTTTCTCTGGCTGGAAGTAGTGGCAGCGGTGGTAGCAATGGTGGTCGTAGTGGTGGTGGCAGAGGGAGAGTCTTCTCTTAGGGATAAAGTAGGCATTGATGATTTGGTCCCTTGAGCCCTGAGGAATAAGTGTTAGTAAGACTAATAGAAACGCTGCCAAATTTTAGTTCCTCCTCCTTCTTCACAAAACTTCCTTCTAGGGCCACCGAAACCTCATTATCCTGATGTCAGCCTGGCCTGGTCCAACTCCTGCTCCTATATCTAGAGATGAGTTTAAAGCCTCTCACCAGGAGCTGAGAAGGTGTCTCTGGATCCTATACCATTTCACCAGATTTTCTCAAAATCAAAAGCAACTAAGTATGCAAATAAACCCTGGCTCCTACACAGTCTAACACCCCCCACCCCCAGACACCCCCAGCCCCTACAAAAGAGTCCCAGGAGAACAAGACTGCAAGGCTGGTTTGCTGCTCCAGGACTGGTGGTATGTTTGCTACCATGCCTCTGTTGTGTGTGACTGCCACAGGGTCATGCCTGCTACTTTTATACCTGTTGTGAGATCTCTTTGGTACACGATCTTTTCTTAGGGTCACATTGCTAGCTGAGGCATTTTGGGGCTTGCTTTTTTTTTTTTTTGAGACAAGGTCTCATAGCTCAGGCTGACCTCAAACTCACTATATAGTCAAGGCTAGTCTCAATCTCTTCTGTGTAGGCCTGGCTGGCCTGGACCTTGCTTTGTAGACAGGCCTTGAGATCTGCCTGTCTCTGCCTCCTAAGTGTTGAGATTAAGGCTTGCACTAGCACAGCTGGCAGACTCAAACTTTTTTTTTTTTTTTTAATGTGTATGAGTGTTTAAGTGCACCTGTGTTGTGCAGTGCTCACGGAGGTCAGAAGAGGGTGTCAGATCCCCTGTAACTGGAGTTACAGATGGTGGTTGTTAGCCCCCATGAGGGCACTGGGAATCCAACCCGGTCCTCTGCAAGAGCAGTCTTAACCTCTGAGCCATTTCTCTAGCCCCAGTGTCAAACTCTGATCTCATTTGTACCTCTCAAGTGCTGGGATTACAGGCATGCTACACCATTGTGTGCCCCTATGTTTTTTGTTTTGTTTTTTAAAGGTAAAAACAATGGGTTTTCTTCACTTCAGTAGAAATGTATTGAGCATTTATTATGGTCAGTGCTAAGTGATGGAGAAACAGAGAAACACCACCTTATTCAGTTCTCTGCCTCAAGGTGATTACAATGCTGATGTGGGAGGCAGGACATGATACTCTGATGTCACCATTTGCCTGATGTCCTAGATAGCTTCCTTTGCAAGATTGACCCCTTGGAATTTCAGAAGAGTCAAGATTTCCAGAACCATCCAAGAAAAAACCCTACTACCAGCCGCCCCCCCCCCAACTCTGCCCTTGGCATTCAAGGCCCTCCAGAATCCAGACTTGCCCAGCCTGGCCAATCTCAACTCCCACTAAGTACTTCCCAGCATCCAACACTCTTCTCTTACCACACCAAGTACTTGCAATCCTCAGGACCTTGGCTGCCCCTGGCCTCCCCTTTCTGTTCCCTGTCTTTTTAGGACCCCACCCCCACCCCCCACCCCTGCCCCAGAGTTGTCCACCTTCTCTGAGAAGCCTTTTCAAAGGCCACCTTTCAATAATTTATTTTTTCTTCCTACTTCCATATTTCACAGCTATTCAGTGGGTGAAGGTCTTCTGGCCCTAAGTCCTAGCCACCTCCCCCAACCCCCTTGCTTGGAGCCCGAATTGTTCACACCTGCTTCTCATCTCTCACCATCTCCAGGACCTGGCAGAATCAGAATCTCAATGATGTCTTGTATCCTGTCTCTCACCACCTTATTTTGCACTTTGTGAAAAGTGTCAGATGGTTTGTAGATAAGGCTCTACTCACTGAGGAGGCTGATTGGCCTGGCCTCTGTGGCCTCCCTACATTCTGATGGAATGGTGATGCCTCTGGGTTGTCTAGGGGACCTTAGGGCTGGGGCGGAAGGGAGCTACAAGAATGCTAGGAGCTCCGGGCTAGTTAAAAACGCTGAGTGGTTGTATCCCCGTTCTTGCATTGGTTGTGAGAAAACGCAGCTTCCCCTCACTCTCCGCTAGTGTTAAGTGCATCAGTTTCCAACCCTCCTCGGGCCAGGCCCTCCCTTGGCTCGGAATCCTGGACTGTGGAGGATTCCGGTGCAAAGTCTAGACTCTGCCTCGGATCAGCCTTGCCTCTTGCCAAGGACTGGATGAACACACCTTGAACCCCGCGCCAGAGTGCAGTTCAGAGCGCTGCCCGGAACTGCAGCTACGCGACGCGGACCAAGGCCAGGGGTCGCGCATCTTCAGCCGGTGACTCAGGGCCGCCGGGTCCTGGGGTGGGTGTGAGTAGGAGGGACCGACCAGGGCCGCGCGGGGGCGGCCGACGGGCTGTCGGTAGCCGAGCGGTGGGAGCCGAGGCTGGCTCTGGCCGGTCGCCATTCTGCCGGGGGTGTCTGTTTAGCCCGGTCCCCGGGCGCGGGAGGAAGGCCCGCGCTACTTCCTAGCAGGCGCGCTCTTCTGCCTCTGAGCAGCGGCCCCGGCGGCCAGCGGCGTCTAGAGCGCGGAGCCCGCTAGGCGCGCGAATGAATGGGCGCCCGGGTGGGGGTGGGGGGTAGTGACGCGCGCTCTCGGGACTGAAGGGCATTAGGACCGTGAGGATCGCTCCGCGCTCCTGTCTCTTCCTATCACCCCCTCCACCACCACCACCTCTCTCCTTTTTCTGCTCTGCAGGACTGAGCAGCCGGGCGCCAGCGAAAACAAACAGCTGGGGCTGCGAGCTGCCCGAGAGCACACCGGCCCCGGCTCCCACGTAAGGCGCCCGTGCGCCCACCATGAGGAAGATCCGCGCCAATGCCATCGCCATCCTGACCGTAGCCTGGATCCTGGGCACTTTCTATTACTTATGGCAGGACAACCGAGCCCACGCAGCATCCTCTGGTGGCCGGGGCGCGCAGAGGACCGGCGGGAGGCCGGAGCAGCTCCGCGAGGACCGTACCATCCCGCTCATTGTGAGTACGCCCTGCGCGCGGGGCGTCCGGCCGGCCAGGGAGCCACGGGGCCCCGCCGGGGGCTGCGTGCCCGCAGCGAGGTACCGGCTTTGTATATGTTCAAGCATTCCTGCCGGTTGTTATGACAACCTGTGCCGGCCCGGCAGAGCCGGGGTGCTTGGATGCTGGGAGGGTGACAGCGAGTGGGGGCAGGGAGAAAGTGCTGCAAGTTTGGTGGGCCCGGCGTGCACGCGCGACCGGGAACGTGGTGGCTCTCCCGGCCCTGCGCCGCCGAGGCTGGGGGCTGCGGGACAGCGGGGCTGCAGGCACCTCTCCAGCCCAGGAAGGCTGGCCCTGGAGTGCAGCGAGCGGGTGGTGGGAACCGCGCAGCAGAGCGCGTAGGTGACGGTGCGCACCCTGTCCCCAGCCCCTGGGGAGTAAAGGACGTCGGGTGGGAGCGTGGGTAAAGAAGGGTCGGTCAGTAAGCGCTGCTCTCGGCTTAGCGGCTTCTCATCCCAGATCAACTTGGACCCGTTTCTTCGCCCCTGAGCTCCTTCTCCCGTGGGAGGTGCAACCCTGAGGAAAAGGTCTTGTATGCGTTCTTCATTCCCAGCATTAGGGACTGCAGGTGAAGGGGACAGTGTCTGCACCGCGGCTGGGCAATTTCTTCTCGGGAGATCACCCTCCCAACGTCTGAGCAAGCCGGGAAACAAAGGTGGTGTGGCACAGCAGGGGCCTCAGCGGACTGCGGGCGGGCGGTGGGGGGGCGTCCTTGTTCACTGGAGAGACCCGGGTGAGGGCGTTCGGAGTCCCAGCCGCCCTGTAGGGGGCGTTCCTGTCTCCACCTTCGCTTGGGCTCAGGGTGACAGCTCCTTGTGACCAGGCCAGGCACCTGTTGCAGGAAACTGGAACTCGAGAGTTGCTAGAATGGGTGTGTTCTTCCCCATGGGGGCAGGTAGTGGACAAAAAACCTTGGGCCGCCTTTGGGACTCACTGCTGGGCAGGGGTAGCTTGGCACTACCAGTACCAGAAAGGATAGGGAAGATTGGGGTGGATGTAAAAGAGTGGGGGAGGATGTAATTCTGACCAGAAAAGATCTGGACCTGGGGGAGGAGGGAACAGCTCCTCCGGGAAGTGCAATGTCAGGAGTGCTGAGGCCTGTATGGATAGAACCCAAGGTACTTGTCCTGAAACACAGAAATATGGGGAGGCTTCTTGTAAATGCCCTTTCATGGTCCCATCCTGCCCCAGATTCCCTCTCATCACCTACCAGGAAAGAAGTAGAGACCCTCCAGTGGGATCAGTTTCTGGGCTTGGTGGGAGACTTTAGGGTTTTAAATTCAAGGTGCATCTCTGCAAGCAAATTTGTCCTGTTATTTCCAAAGTAGTCAACATTCTGGAGTTAAAACCTCCTGTGCACTTTCGGGGGCTGAGAACTAGGTGGACTGACAGGTTGGAGCACAAAAAACCTTCGTGGTTCTAGACTTATGGTGAGTTCTCACACCATGAGTCTCAGCTGCCCCTTAGTTCTGGAGAGGACCATCCCTGATGTCAGGGAATACAACCCAAGGCAACCTGGGTCCAGGCAAGACAGACTGGTCAAATGTCCTGTCCCTCTCTCTGGTGGCCTGATGAGAGGTGGCTTTCAACTGGAGGGGGAGGAAGCTGAAGGCTGGTCAAAGAGAGGAGGGGAGAGGGCCACAGACAAACCATCTCCTGGAGCCTCTGTTGCAGCAGTCTGAACCCTGACCTTGGCTGGTACACCTATGTTCTGTGCCTCCCAGATGAGAGCCCCAAAATGGAACATGTGTATACTGGGGACAGTGTTGGAGGGAAACAACACTAGTTTTGAAGGATGAGAATTAGAAGTTATAGGGACACTACTGAACACCTTCTTGCCCCTCATTCCTGCAAAGGTTTAACTTGTAACAGGTACGAAAGAGGCTGAGAACTGGAAGCTCAGTGTACAGTATACAGGCAAATCAGGGAAATACCTAGGAGCTGGGAAGTGAGGTGCAGGAAGTAAGGAAGGGTGAGAGTTCCAGGAAACAGAGTGGCAGACCTTCTCTTGCTGTTTAGACACACAGCCAGCCCACCGTTCTTAAACTTTAGCCCTGGCTGTCTCTGCCAGCATCAGCCCTGATTGCACACTGCACTTGATGTTGCTTTGTACTGTATTCCTATCTTGAGCTAATCCACTTCCATGTAATTCTCAGCTGAATGTAAGCTGTGCATGCAGGGACCATGCTGGACGCTTCTGGCATTCCCGCATTGATGCACGCAGCAAGACTTAATAAGTACCTCTTTGATAAAGGAGTTTGACAGGTTTTTGCTCACTTCTGGGAGCAGTCAATGGCTCAAGTTTCAAATATCCTTCTTATTTATTCAAAGCTCCAACTGCACGGAGGTAAGGAGATGAATGCCTGAGCATCTCAGTTGAACTTTTTGTTCAACTTAAAAAGGGGCAGGTGCACCTGAGGATTTGCTTTCTGGCTGAAATTTCTGGTAACTACTCAGCATCTTTGCCATTCCCAAACAGCTCTCTCTGTTGAGTTTGGCCATGTGGAATTTTCAGATTCTTAGGGAATGAGGTGGCCAGCCCTGCAGTCAGAGTCCCAGCAAATTCAGACAAACGTCATCTGCATTCCCCCAGGGAACCAGAGAGCTGAACTGGGAAAGGGAGGGTCTGCGAAAGTGCGGTCCTGAAGGCCTTCTGGCCTGTTCAAAGCCAGCCAAGTTGCTTCTGGATCTTGGAGACATTTGTTTGGCATTGTGGATTGTTGGCATAGCAACTGTATGGCCCAATTTCTCAGGGAGGTCCTGAGTCTCGATACTCTGTCCTGCTATCAACCCATGTGTCACAAATTCTGAAGTAAGGATTAGTTGTAGGATCTGTAGAACTAAAGGGAGACTCTGACTCCATCCCCCTGGCAGCTTACCATGTGGCAAGGTTTGACACTTTGCTGTGCTATATGGGCAAGGCAGGGTATTTGGGGACAACTTTTTGAATCTATACTGCTTTACATGGACAGAGGATGACAGCAGGCATAGCTAGACTCTTTGGGATCCCAGTTGGGGAAACCATTGTGGTTGTTTGGTTCTGGAGTCAGGTTTTCCATATGCTAGTTCTCCAAAAGGCATGGGTGAGAAGCCAAGGTGTTACATGGAATTTCACTTTATATTGTTAAAAAAGGTATGTGTGGCTGGGTGTGGTGGTACATGCCTTTAATCCCAGCATTCAGGAGGCAGAGGCAGGTGGATCTCTGTGAGTTGAAGGCCAGCCTGGTCTACATAGTGAGTTCTAGGCCAACTGGGGCCACAGAGAGACCCTATCTCAAAAAGACCAAAGAAAAGAAGAAAAGATATGTGTGTTTCAGTATAAGTATACTCATTTAAGACAATAATTTAGGGGCTGGAGAAATGGCTCAACAGTTAAGAGCATTGATTGCTCTTGCAGAAGATCTGGGTTTGATTCCCAGCACTCACATGGTGGCTAACAACCATCTGTAACTCCAGTTCCAGGGGATCCAATGCCCTCTTCTGACCTCCAAGGGCACTGCATGACAAAGGTACATTTACATACATCCAGGCAATATATTCAACCACATAAGATAAAAATAATAAGTAAATTTTTAATATTTTATATATTATTATATATATATATATATTTTTTGGTCTTTTTGAGACAGGGTCTCCCTGTAGCCCCAGCTGTCCTGGAACTCATTATGTAAACCAGGCTGGCCTTGAACTCACAGAGATCCACCTGCTTCTGCCTCCCAAGTCCTGGGATTAAAGGCGTGCACCACCATGCCCGGCTTATTTATTATTTTTATTTTATATATGTATGAGTGTATTGCCTGCATATAGGCTAAGTGCACCTGTGTTGTACAATGCCCTCAGAGGACAGAAGAGGCTGTCAGATCCCCTGGAACTGGAGTTATGGACAGTTGTTAGATGCCATGTGGGTGCTGGGATTCGAACCCCAGTCTTTTGCAAGAACAGCCAGTGTTCTTAACTGCCGAGCCATCTCTCCAGCCCCATAAATAAATAATTTTTAAAAGACAACAGTTTCCTGTTTAAACATGCAGACAAAAGTTTTCCTGAGCTGAAAATTCCTTTTGTTTGTTTGTTCATATGCTGTTTTAGAGACAGAGTAGCCCAGGCTGGCCTTGAACTTACAGTCTTCCTGCCTCAGTCTCCTGAGTGATAGAATCACAGGTAAGCACACTACAATTGGCCTCAACTGCTGTTTCTCATCCTGAAATTGAGACAGTGCTGAGTAACCATGGACAAAATACTTATCATCTCTGGACCTTTGTTAAATAATTGGCCAGGTGTGTTAGTGCCTTGATAAACAGATAGTAATTTCATTTCTAGAAGTAGGTAAATAGCTTTAGGAAGTTCTCTTACAGGGTGCTCTGAGGTTTATACCTATAGACAGACACAGCCTGTCAGGAAGTCCTCTAGTAACCTGTTAGGTCTTTCAAGGAACCCCACTTACTAGTAGATGGGGACACTGATGATGGTTTTTCTGTTGTTCTCTGAGAGCTGAGGATTCAATAAGAGCTGAATGCATTTATATTTTATTTATAATGTGTGAATTTTGGAGCTGTGGGAATATGGTTTGCCTAAATGACAGAAAATAGTTTTATATTTAATATGTTTAGGTGCCATATTTGAAAAAGAGGTTAGGGAGAGACAGCCACCAACATCCACAATTCCCTTTGCTAACATGTTCAGATGTAAAAGGTCTATGGTATCTATTCCTAGGCCAGGGGATGTGGGGAAAACCTGGAAGCACCTAAGGCTGGAGGGAATGTTAACAGTGGTGTCTCTCTTGGGATGCCAGAGGCCCAAGTGTACCACATGCAACTTAGGGCAACTGCTTGTTCTTCTGACCAGCCCCCTTTTTTCTATGCTATAGGCAGTCCCCCACCAGATGCTCAGAGGCCCTAGGAGGGAGGCTTCCTTCTGTGGTAGCTATGTTTGTTAGCTTAGCAAGCAGAGGAAGCTCTGGGATG